AACTGCTCTCTTTTCTTTGCACATTTTTTTTCTGCGTTCAACTTTATCAGTTCTGCTGTCCTTTAGCCCTTGATAAGTAGCTGGTTTCTGACCACAGCGCCACTGTCAGCTGAAAAGTTTTGTGAATTAGTTTAATACACATTAGAGATGTCCAATCTTATATGCAAAGGGCTGGTGTAGTTGCAAGTTTCTGTTCCAACAAAGTTGTTAGAAAGAAAACTTGTAGTCAAACCAGCCCTTTGCAGATAAGATTGGACACACCTGATATACACAATGACACTTGTCAAAGTGGTCCTTTAGGCATCATCTTAGAATTTCATGGTAAAAAATAAGACATTTTATGAACGTAAATTGTTAAATCTATTTTGAGACTTTTGAAGGAGCCGTGAGGTTCCTGCCTGACAAATAAAGGTTGCACACTTTGAAGATAAAAGGTTTGGTTTCAGGAAACTCAAACAAAAACAAGGAAGCAGTACTTTTGATAGAAATCTGCTGTGCCTTAACTGACCTTGAATAAGCTTCTACTCTTAAAATACTAAATGTAAACCACCATAATGTCTTACCAATCACAACATGACAAAACTACCTCTTGTTTAACTCTCTATGCTTTCCTTCACCATCATACCTTGAGGTTGTTTGGGTGGTGGTGAGTCCAGTCCAGCAGCATCGCAGCAAACAGGTCACCTGTGCCCACAAACACAGCATCCACCCTGGGGATGTCTATTCTGATCCGCTGCTTTTTCTTAGTGCCATCTGCCTTCACTGAAACACAAGCAGAGATAAGCAAACAGAGTTACTGACAAACTACAAACCGGTGAAGGAGAAAGTCTAAATACAGAGCATGTCTTAGTAATTATTTTAGTGTTGGGCGATATATCAAAAACATAACAACACAATACTTTAAGACATTTTCACAATAAACAATATGCAGCATCATATTTCATTTATCCTGATGTTTCATGATTTGGATACAAAAGCAAGTAAAAAATACTATCAACAACTGTGAGCACAATGATTTTTACTCAAACTTTCACACGCTGTGCTGCACTAAATCTAATAAATCCCGACTGTGGTCTCTTCGTAATGAAACCTGCAGTTGGTCAGTGCTCTTAAGTACTGACAATACCAACAATATGCTCAGAAAAGGTTAAGACATAGTATGACACAATTTATCAGGATGATGCTAAATATTATCAGACTGCCATAAATAGTGTTATTAGTGCTAGTGGTACTGCTAGCACTAATAACCTTAATACCAGTATTAATAGTCCTCTACTAAATTTGAGAGTAAGCATTCAGTCAGTTTCATGTTTCATTGGCCAGTCACAATATATGAATGTTTCTAGAGTATAAACAAGAAGCATGCGCACACACTGTAGATAACCTATGCTAATGTATTATAATTAGTAGTAATAAGCAGTAGTAGTTTATGACGTAGCTGATTTCTTTGCTCAAAGTAATGGAGCACTCACAGTCACAGTCAATTTGGCACAAAGTGCCTCACTCAAAAAGCCTGTTATCATTTGAGCCTGTACCTTTTTCTGTCCATATCCTCACTGTCTGAACAAAATCGTGTATATATTGTGTATATATAATGGTAACTTTTCAGGAGAAGAAAAATGCATTCCTAACTTAAATTGGAAGTTGATTTAAAAATATTTTAGTCCAAGTAATTTTGGGCCATTTCTATCAGTCCATTTATCGTGAACTTTTCACAAAGTGTAAAAGGCTGGTACTGTTTACGAATTACGTAAAAGAAATATTAAAGAAGTAGATAGGAAGTTTTGTCCCAACAGTGACAATATGAATACGAATGTGAGTAAGAATCTGAGCAGGCCAGTGCCAGAGCCACCAGGTACTGATCCCCCAGAGAAGAGAGCAGGTCAGAGCTGGTGATGACCACAGTGCCAGGACCCATCCCATTCAGCAGGTTCATCACCTGAGCAGATGTGACACAACCATACACGCACTTTCAGACAGCATATTATAACAGTACAATAATGTACGCTACAACAGTGCGATATGGCTGAAGATCCCTATTTAGGTATTTGGATAAAAACTGAAATAATCAACATACTCATTAAGAAATTCTCTTATTTTCAGTTACACAGCAAACTTACTGTACACTGTAGTTTGTTCCTCACTAAATGTTAATTATACTGCCATTCAATGTCCATCAGGCATACACATTCAAGACTGGTCAATACTGGAATCAGCAGATTTTTGATCCATGTAAACATGTAAATCGTCAATCAACACTTTTTTTTTTTTTTGAAAGATCCGATTTGCAATATTATAATGTAAGTAATGTGAAGCAGGTAAGTGCACTCGCTCTTTATTAGAATGCTGCTGTTAAACCTCATATCAACGTCATAACATCACATAATTATGCATGACTCATTGTGTTAAATAACAAGTAACCTCTTACTTTTAATGGAGCATTTCATCTGATTCATGTTACTGAAACAGACCAGTTTGGCATTAAGGAGAAAATGATTATTGCAAGCTTGACTAATAAAAAGAACTGGAAATGTGTTTATTTAACCTGCAGTGTGTAAGCTTTAAAAATAGTTTAAAAAATTTGTAATAAAAATCAGCCCAATTTGGCTCCAAAGAAGTCAGAATCCCTCATTAGTATGAGTGCATCTCTAATGTCCACCATAAAACTAGTTACTGCTTCACAATATTACACAATCATGGGCAGTTTGCATTTCTACCTGAAGGCCTGCTGGACTGGTATTTGTTATCTTTGTAGTTTAAATGCAGTTTGGAAGGTTCTCCAAAATACTGCACAGCATGAACATTCACCTCATCTTTCTCCATGCTGATCTTTCTGTCTGTCAGCATTCTTTTAAACACAAACAGTTTATCGAAAAGACACTATTCAATTCAGAAAACATCAGAAAACATCATTGGAGACTTTACTTCTGGGTGGCAATGTTTCACACTTTTTCATGACTATTTTCAATCTAGACTGCAATGATTACAGTTTTATTTATAAATACTGACATCTAAAATGTTAGTTCAGCTACAGCAGAGACCAATATACTATACATTACAGCCCATAAACACATCTACGCAGTATTTGGCTTGTTAAATAATTGGTTTAAGCCAAAGAACTGGACTGAGATCCTGCATTATACACTGATCAGGCATAACAGTATGACCACCTCCTTGTTTCTACACTCATTGTCCATTTTATCAGCTCCACTTACTATATAGGTGCACTTTGTAGTTCTACAATTGCAGACTGTAGTCCATCTGTTTCTCTGCATACTTTGTTAGCCCCCTTTTACCCTGTTCTTCAGTGGTCAGGACCCCCATGGACCCTCATAGAGCAGGTACTATTTGGGTGGTGGATCATTCTCAGCACTGCAGTAACACTGACGTGGTGGTGGTGTGTTAGTGTGTGTTGCGCTGGTCTGAGTGGATCAGACTATTTCTTTTGATGATCAAGACACTGTTGACAGGCTCACCATCTGTGTCTAATATTTCTCAGTGATGTCATAACTGAGTGCATGTACCCGTGTGTCGTAACTATGACCAATGTGGATATGTGAGTAAATGCCACCAGGGCCGTAACTAGGGTCAACGTTTTAGTGAGGTCCATTTTGCAGAAATGTGACCTACATCTCATAGTGAATAAACTAACTGCCAAATATGAGTAATAGACCAAACGTGAGCTTCTTTAGGGTTTTTTACCAAATCATTGCTCTTTTTTTCACCTATCCAGAACTATTTTTATGCACCTTTTCCTTTCATTTGTTCCTTCCCCATCCCTCCATTCTTCCATAAACTGCTTTTACTCTTCCATAAACTGATTTGACTCCAGTTACCCTGTTTAGGTTTATTTAATTAATCATTTAACAAATAATTATTTATTTAGATGTTTATTTTCAGCTGAAAATACGTGTTGATTTCTTAATAAAGTTAGCTACATGATGCTATACCACCAATATGCTGGTTAACAGTGAACTTTCTCATGCTGGTTGTGTTACGTGTAGGTAACAAAATACAGCTTCAATTTCTCATCTAATCACTAATATAGCCTACTGTGGAGCCTGTAGCCTAAACTGAGCAGCTACTGGAGCTGGACTAAAACATGCTGATTTAGCCAGCAACATTACAAGCAGTCCAAACAAAATTTAAACATAGGGTTTGAATTTTACAACATTAATGTGTTGATTGCGCTCATAAACTCTTAGCTAGCTACATCTTTGTCATAGTGATGGTATATGTTAGCTTACAGCATGTGTGCTGCACACCTGAACATCTCAAGAAGTCAAAGTTAGCGTTACTCTGGTTCTCCGGGTAGCGCAGCCCAGTACGCCCAGAGATAAACAGAGCGGCCAGTTAAACCAGAGCTGGTTTATAAGGAGCCTGGCCTCTTCCTATTCCCCCCGTTATATCAAAAACAGGACTGCTAAACAGCAGAGGGCACCCGCGAGTGAGTCCTCAATGAATGGGAGTAAATCGAACTCAACGGCTAAAAACTAAAAGTTAAAATAGTTTCTAATCACTCGCCCAGAACGTTTCTTTAATTTTAGAAAGTAGAAGGACGTATTTCACTAAAAAAAAAGAAATCTTACCTATATATTTCCTTTTTTCTACAGCAAACGTGTTTTGGGCAGCAGAAGGCGGGCTTTACTGCTAGAGCGTGATGATTGATTGGCGAGCGGAGCAGCTCATTGGCTGTTCGCGCTCACTGACGTCATGGACATACATGAGGAACCATTTTAAACTCCTATAGCTCGAGTTTAAAAGCTCTTAAAAATATAACAGCGGTGTTAAAATGTTTTATGCTGTTCTGTGTTCAGGAAATGATTGTATTCTTTTACACTAAACATGTTTAAGCATTTATAAACTATGATTTTGCTCAAATGCTCCATATCAACCCATTCATTTCGGACTCGCTCGGGAGTGCCCTCTAGCGTTTGAGAAACCATTGCAGAGTGGGAATTCTCCTCTCTACAAGTTATCTGGCTGAAGTGAGTGAAGCGAGCGCGGAGCTGCGAAAAGCGAGCACACTAAACTCCCGGTGTGCTGCGTCGGAAGCGCGCAGTCTTTGTTTCTCTGCTCTCGGTGTCGCTCTTTTCGCTCGTTTTTCTGACTTACTCGATTTAACCTTGTTTTTGCGCTCTCACATTACAGACAGTAATCTCACTCCATAATTAACCCATTAGCAATATATGAATATATAACCACGTTTACCGCAGTGTTGGGTGGGTGCAAGTGTGGCTGATGGCTGTCTGGGACTTATTTGTCTGGATGAAAGACCCTTTAGATAAACGCGATGTGTTTCTTAACGCATCGTCTTCTAATGTGGGTGGTCTTATTCATTCAGCTCTGCGACACAAATACGGGTAGGTATGTGTTTAAAAACCTTTAAAATAATATTTAGTAATAGTAATAAGTATACAGTGTAGTAAGCAGTATTATTTAAGTATTTTCCACCCCTGGTTGGTTACGGCTGGTATTTAAAGCAAGCAACCTGTGTAAATACACACATAATCTTATTTACATTTAGTCTAGCTTTCACCTGGCTGCTTTTTCATGGGCAAAGTGGAGGCTTCATAATAGAACTCAGTCTAAGTCCTTGATATGGGCTCAAACCATGGAAACCAATGACAGGATTTTTACTTCTTAAGCAGCCACCTTGGAAGCATCCAACGCCATTGATATTGCTGTAATATTGTTTTACATAATTTATAATTTTTTTCTTTAATTAGATTTGTTATTTATCCATTTTTATATATTGTTTATTAAATTACTATATTGTCATAGTTTTAGTGGTTTATTGATAATTTTTTTATTTACTACTCTGATCATTATTATTTTTTAGCATTTGTTATGTTTTTACTACTGAACTTTTCAATGCCTGGTCTCTGTATTGGCTCAGCTACACTGTAAATGAGGGTCTCCCTCAGTGTACTCAGAGTTTAAATAACGGTTGGTTGGTTGATTGATAACTCTTCAAAGTGTTCACCACAGAGAAAATGAGCAGTATTGATTGGCTCTGCTTACGAGCTTTTAAACAGCAAGCCCCTAATCTTTTTATATTAATTTAATTTGGTGGGTTTTGTTTTCTTACTCTTTGTTTGTTTGTTTGTTTTTGACAGCTGTAAGGGTCATTGGTCGGAGTGCAACTGTTAAAGCAGGAGACGAAGCCACCTTGTTCTGTCAGCTGGTTGAGACAAATGAGAGACTAACACGGATTACTTGGCAAAAAAGGACTCGGAAAACACTCACAAATAAGAACTTTTTTGTTATTACACCAGAGGGGAAAACAGAAAATATAAATGGATTAGGAGTCAGAACTGAATTTATTGGGAACATTCAAGAAACGACTGGCACAATTCTTCTAAAGAATGTTACATTATTAGATGAAGGAGTTTACACCTGCATCTTCAACATATTTCCAAGTGGACCATTTGAGACAGAGATTCATCTCAGTGTTCTAGGTAAGATTGGTTATTCTTGTTTTTCTAAACCCAAATAAGCAATTAATTACAATTTTTATGTAACCTGGTTAGTTTTAACTCTTGGATATTATCATCTTGCTGTAGGAGGACTATTTACATGCCAAGTTTTTAAAAGTTCCAGAGACTTAGGAAAAAACAATGCTAAAAATGCTCTAAAAGTTCTGGGTTGTTTTTATTGCAGTAGATCCCATGATTGGAAATGAGAAACATTATTGCAAATGAATGTGTTGACTAATAAATACATTTTTGCTAAAGAATTTTTTGCTAAATAATATTATAAAAATCTTACTTTGTTTATCAGATTGATTGTACTGTGGCGTCAGAGCATGCCTAGGTTCTGTTTAGTTCACAAAGATAGTAGGTAGTGTGCTTAGGAAACTGTGCTTTTTTGTAATCGTTTCAGCCAGCTAACAGTTAGAGCCATGAGCTAACCTGAGTACACTGAAAATATGAAATATGTATTTTCAGTGAAAGGTGAGGTAAATTATTTGGAGAAAAACAAATTCATGTTTTTCTATATGAAGATGTAAATATTTAAAAACAAAGTCACAATTATCGGCATCCTCTCTTTCTCAGTGTAACAGCTATGGGTCTTTTCTTATATACTGGATGTGTAGAGCACTGGAGCCCACATAGTTAGAGAAGCATTGCAAGTTTGTGAGTTTGGACCATTTATCTTCCTAGAAGATCAAATCATGAAGTACTTTAAGCGACAGATGTGCTGAGTATGAACTGGGTTATAGCTGATTCCAGTTTCTTTAGTTCAGCCAATTGCTGATTTTGGGTCCAGTTTCTATGAATGGGAGATGGGGATCTAGAATGGGATTAATTTAACAGCCAGCTCAACAGAGCTTCTCCACAAGCATTCAGATAAAGGCTCTAAGTTAAAAAATTGATGTATATGAAGAACTGTAAAACTGCAACATAGGAAGTATAGAATATTGTAGCTTCCCACTACTGGATTATGCTGCCTTTGTCAGACTTTGGAGGCGTGGCCAGGCAAAGAGGTTCATGGAAGGCGCACACTCCCCTCTCTTAAGGCACGTTTAATGTTCTTAATATTGTTGTCCGTTAGTTTAAGTTGTGTATAGGTGTTATTTGTGTTATTCTGTGTCAGGGGTTGTGCATGTTTTGTGTTGGTGGTTTGTCACTACAGGAGGTGGACACCTGGTGGCTGGTGGTCACCTCCCCAATGAGTTCAGTGCTGTGTGTGTGGCTTTCTGTTGGAGTTTAATAAGATGTTTCACTGCAGAATCATGGCTTCTCCTGTGTCTTACTCTGTGCCGACACCACAATATATTACATGTGTGTCTTACCAGCTTAATGTCAGATCTTCCATTAGTATTATTAAACCCAGTTTGGGTACATCGCCATTAATGTGGCATTAACACAACAGAAAATTCCATTGAATGCAGACAAATAACTTAGCATTATGCTAGCAAAAAAGCCACTTACAAAGTTAATGTTTCTACGTTTAAAACTGTTGTTTACTGAAAGGTTTGCATTTACATTGGCATGCGAAAGTTTGAGCACCCCTGGTTAAAACTTCTGTTACTGTGAGCAGCTAAGCGAGTAAACGATAATCTGATTTTCAAAAGACATGAAGATGACAGATTTCTTTAACGTTTTAAGCAAGATTTCTTTTTTAATTTTCATCTTTTACAGTTTCAACATAACAAAATAGGAAAAGTGCCTGAAGCAAAGGTTCGGGCACCTTGCGTTGTCAGTACTTATTAATGCCCCCTTGCCTTTTGGCAAATGTCACAGCTTGTAAATACTTTTTCTTGCCAGCTAAAAGTATTTTAATTCTTGTGTGGTTGATTTTTTTCACCCATTCTTCCTTGCAAAAGGCTTCTAGTTCTATGAGATTTATGGGCCGTCTGGCATGCCCTGCTCTTTTGAGGTCTATCCACATCATTTCGGTGACGTTTAGGTTGGGGGTCTGTGAAAGCCATAGCAAAACCTTTAGCTTGCAACTCTTGAGGTAATCCATTGTGGATTTTAGGTGTGTTTAAGATTGCTACTATTCTGTTGTGGAAGCCATCCTCTTCAGCTTTTCTGCAGACAGTGTGATGATTGCTTCCAGAATTAGCTGGTATTGAATTGAATCCATTCTTCCTCTTTACGAGTTAAATGTTTCCCATGCCCAAAGCATGATCGGTCCACGCCTGTACTTAACAGTTGGCAAGATGTTCTTTTCTTGAAATTCTGCACCTTTTTTGTTTTTTTTGTTTTTTTTTACAGTTGACAGGTCTTTTTTTTCCAGAATATATCAGGCTTGTTAAGATGTTCCTTTACAAACGTCTGATGCTCAATTTTGTGGTGAGGATGCAGGAAAGATTTTTTCTGATGACGCTTGCATGAAGGTCATATTTGTGCTGGTGTCACTACACACAAATCTTCCTGAAGGTCTTTTACAGTCAAAAAGACCACGTCATGCCATCCTCAAACTGACGGAATAGAACATTTCAGTAAGATCCTACAAAGCATGCTACCGAAGTATGTGGCAAAAAATGGGAGCAGACTGGGACACATGGCTCCTGCATCTGCTGTTCCCATACAGGGAGGTCCCACAAGCCTCAACAGGATTCTCCCCATTTGGACTCTTGTATGCAAGGCCAAGTGATGTGGAACAGCTATAGTTGCATGCTGTATAGGGACAGTCGTGGGCTGGAGGTTAGGGAACCAGCCTTGTGACCAGAAGGTTGCCGGTTCAATCCTCTGAAGTGCCCTTGAACAAGAACCCTTGAGCCTAACCCCCAACTGCTCCCCAAGCGCCGTGGATGGGACTGCCAAAAGCTCCGGGCAAGTGTGCTCACTGCCCTTACTGTGCCCTTGAGCAAGGCACCCAAATCCCAACTGTTCCCCGGGCGCTGTGGATGGGATTGCCCACTGCTCCGGGCAAGTGTGATCACTGCCCCTAATGTATGTGTTCACTAGTGTGCATGTATGTGGGTGTTTCACTGCATGGATGGGTAAAATGTGGAGGTGTAATTCCTGTATGTGCATGAATTCTAGAATTCTAGAAGAGGAGGAGGAAATTGAGCAGTAACGGTCAAACTGGCAGTTCAGGGAGGAACCAGGGCCGACAGACATCATGTAGCACATTCGTTTGACTAAAACAGAGCTGATTAGACAAATAAGCTGCAGTGTACCAGTGGTTAATCAGAGCTGAAGAAAGAAGTAGAGAATAGTTGAGCTATTAAAAATCAAATGGTGCTGCCCTGTAGTTCTGGTCCCTAAAATGGACGGGGGATTAAGATTCTGTGTTAAATTTTCGAAGCTGAGTGCAGTATCTGCATTTGATCCATATCCAATTCCTAGAGCGGATTAATTGATTGAAAGGCTTAGGAAGGCGAAATTCCTAACAGCTATATGTGTAAAGGTCATTGGCAAGTCCCACTGAACTCAACAGTGAAATAACTGACAGCTTTTTGGCTGAGTTCCCTGCAGCATACACTGATGATGTGGTCATTTATAGCACATCATGGGTGGAGCACAAGCAAAATCTGAAAGTGGGTCTTCAAAAAATTACTGAGGTTGGTAAAGGGTGAAGTCCTATTTGGATTACATCTTGGGCAGTGGAGTGATACACCCAAAAGTTGACAAGTTAGAGGCTGTTTGTGCCCGGCACCCACAACCAAAAGGAGGGTGTGATTAGTAGGTCTGGTCAGTTGATACTGCAGATTCATACCCAACTTTCCCAGCAGGGCAGCGGTACTGACAGACCTCACCAAAAAGAATAAACCACAGAGAGAAATCGACTGATGAATGTGAAACTACATTTCAGGACCTAAAGACTTGTCTGTGTTCTAAACCAGTCCTATGTAGCCTGGCCTTTGATGGACCATTTATGGTCCAGACGGAGGCATCAGGTAATGGACTGGTGCTGCACTGTTGCAAGGAGAACAGGAGGACTTAAAACCCATCTTGTACATCAGCACAAAGTTGTTTTGAAGAGAAACAAGGTATTCTACTGTAGAGAAAAAGGTCCTAGCAGTGAAATAACTAGACCATAGAGCACTGCAGTGGATGCCAAAAATGCAAGAGTATAAAGCCAGACCATGGGGGTTGCTGGAGTTAGTCAAGGAGTAGGCTGAAAAGAGCCATTGTGTGTAGTCAGTTTGGCTTTGTGGCCTCCAGACATATTTATGCGCATCAGACTGATGTTTAGGCTGTGAGCATGAGAGACTGCCAGATATTAGCTGAGGAGTCACCATAGGAACCAATTTCGTTTTAAACTTCCAACACTGTTGTAAATATGTAAATATGTCCTTTACTGGGTGATCGACACTTAATAAATGACTGAGAGCACCTGAACTTACCTGGACGTGTGTGTGACATTACTTGAAGGGGAACCCAAAGCTCTTTCCTGCTCATAGCATCACATTACTGGTGACACTGTGTCTCATTACACATGGTGACGACGGGGCACCACAACACATAACCAAGCAGGGTGAAGCCATAACTTTAATGATGGGGTAGCCTGGTTAGTAGCCTGGTTAGTGATTTTACTGTCACTGCACTATAGCTGTGCTAAGTATGACATTTTCATTGATTATGTGAATTTATCCAGAAACCTGTTTGACCCCTGAAGGGTGCAGTGTATAAAAAAGACTGATTTCTGTATTTCTCCTAATGTGGATTAAAGATGCATACAATCTGCATCTTAACCGCATATTAGTTTTTCAATTTTAAATCAAGTCAAAAAAACAAAAATGGTCACTGCACTGTAGCTGATATGTGAAATTCAGGGCTATGACCATTGGTTTTGGTTGTAGGTTGTAGGTTGTATGTGGTCAAAGTTGCCAAATTTAAGGCTCTTACTGTTTATTTTCTGTTGGTTATGGTTTTTGACATTGTTTAACATTTAGTTAAAACATTAGTTTTGTTATTAAAATACGTATAGTTATTGGAATTTTTTTTTGTTATTAAGCTGTACTAAACAACTGAAAGGTATATTTTGTATTGTCTGTTGAAAATGGCTGATGCAGATAAAGTTAGACTTCGCATAGACTGATCTATATTCTATTTGCTTTGCATTTTTTTATACTGCCATGTACTGACATGTTTGTCTTCACTTATAGTTCCTCCTGTTGTTGGTGTGAAGACTGATGCGATTCCTGTTGTTGGTGAGTCTGAAGTGACCTTGGCCACATGCACTGCTGCTAAAGCACGGCCTGCTGCAGTTGTGTCCTGGAGTCTGGGTGCTCTGAGCGACTCTGTAAAAGTAAAGACCAACATTTCTGCAGACCCTGATGGATCCTTCACTGTCAGAAGCTTCCTGATTGGTGAAGCATCCAAAGATCTAAACCAGCAGAAGGTTCAGTGTTTGGTGAACCACACCACCCTGAATGAGCAGCTGATACTGGACTACGCTCTAATTATCCATTGTAAGTCACTGTCAGCATTTTTTTTCCTTTTGTCAGCATTTCAGAAGCTAAGAGGAGCAAAAGTATACAGAGGCAGGTCAAACTAAGATGATTTTTAACTATGTGTGTACCAAGAAACTCATGAAAGGCATTTATTAAATTTTATTAATTAAAAATTTTATTTGCTCATGTAAACTCTTCAAGACTTAAGAGCACAGAAGGCACAGAAACGCTCCATTGCATTTCTTGTAAACTGGCTATACAGCTTAGCATTCTTTCTTATTGTTAGCTCCCTATAATGTTTAATTTAGGAATAACCTTATGTATGTTTTCAGATGTGACCATCTTTTTGCTTGCTATTTTTTGGATAGTTATTGTTTGCCTTTTTCTGCTCTTCTTCTCTCAGATCCTCCTCAGATTGTGTCTATTATTTCAGTCAATATTCCAGCAGCATCGCAAGAATTTCAGTGTGTAGTTGATGCCAATCCACAACCTGCGAAGTTCATCTGGAGCAGGTAATCTGATCCTATTTAACACCCTGATGGTTGGGCAGCTGCAGCACTCACAGTGGACATGTGTTATAGATTAGATGATAGATGAAAGGCAAAAGCAGCACCTGATGCAGCTCAGCCTCCAGAAATAGTGTTCTGGTTTCTCCTTCATGAATTGAATAGTCTTTTTCATTTTTTGCGTTTCATGTTTTACTGACTATTGCTATTATGGGTCTTTTATGCTATTATGGTTTTATTTCATCTCAATATGACAAGGTAATTTAACATTATATTCAGAGCAAGATGAGCCAGTATGATGTTTGCTAGCCACTGTTCCACGACTGCTAAAGTACACAATGCTGAAGGCAGATTTCAGTAGATATCTAATCAGCTGATGAATAATCAACTGCAGAAGAGTGAAATTCAGAGCATCTGTTTGCTTATTTTTACTGATTCGATTTGTTGACTTTTTTATCTGTCACATTAGCTCTGCACATGCAGTACTTTTGTGCATAGGAATATTAACACATTATTACTTTTTGTACTAACAGGATAAACAGGAGTCTTTCCAGCCGTGTTAATGCTGACAGGCTGACAATCCCACTGACCTCTGATAATAATGGCTTGTATATGTGTAATGTTTCAAACCAGTATGGAAATGGCACAGGTACCCTTTATGTGAATGTTTCCAGAGGTGAGTCTCATTTGTATTGATGTAAAAATAGACTATATATGATTTATCAGTCTTTTCTATAGAAAACTGAGAGATGTACTTTGCAACGTACTCTATGTGATGGCAGTTCAGTCCAATGGTTCACCGTCATAAGTTTAAGCTCAGTCAAGCCATGCAACATTTATTGGCACCAGAAACTGCTTTAAAAAAGTCAGTATCTGTATTTAAGCCTGGGGATACGTAACCTTTGCTAACAAACATGAGGATGCAGGTCGCAGTAACTTTATATCCGTGGGTGCTTATAAGCCACAAATACTAATTAGAGCTGAAAATACTGTCATCTGTTTATAAAGTGTTAAAAGAAACACAAGCTTTTTCTCTTTCTCAGTCTTTTTTCCTCTTCCCCCCTTTCTTCCTCTCTCCATGTAGAATCCACCACTGTCTGTTGGGTTTTGTTCACCTGTCTCCTCCTTGGCTTTATTGCTGCTTGTTTAATGGAATGGAAATTTAACATATTTGAGAGATTGAGAACATTTCTTTCAGAACTGAGAAACAGAATTCGGTGAGTTTGTTCATTTTCAATATAAAGCACAAAAAGTAGAGCCTAAAATGTTCAATTGTTAAGTTATTTTGGTCTCTGGAATAGTAATGGCATTTGTTTCTCACTCACACTAATCTAAAATGAGCATTACGGTTCTTTTGTTAATAAATCATCCCACAAAATGATTTTTAATTCAAGACCCTGCAAATAATAATAAACAATAAACAAATAATAAATGAATGTGCCACTAATTTAAATGCATCCACTCTAGGCGTCCTAGGCATGATCCTGTGTCTACAGGTGGTTCCACGTCACCCTCAAGCAATAGAAGCCGAAACCACCGAGACAGGAGTGGAAGCCAATAAGACTGTGAGAGCTCCCTCTCCAACGGGACCGTACCTTGTCGCGGTGGAGAGGCTTTTACACTACCAGTCAAAAGTTTGTGTGTGTTAACTGGTAGTGTCCTCTAGCTTCTACTTACAAGAACTGCTCTCCTAACATTAGAAGAAGCTGCGAGGTACCGAAACGGTCCCATATATTTTGCTGTGTTTTACGGTAGTGTTTCACTTTTGAACTCTCCACTGATTCATACTTCTGTTACCTGTGTTTGCATGAAATTGTTGATTGTCAGTCTTCATTCTTGGGAGATTTGAATCAAGTATCCAATGTAGTACTAAAAGAAAAAAAAGAATAACAGACCATATTGGCCAAAGTACCTTTTTGAACAGATTTTAATCGGTTGTGCAATTTTTGCGCAAGTCAAAAAATTAACATTGGTTTAAAAGGTAATGTTGCAAAAAAAAAGAAAAAAAAAAAAAGACGTTTTAAACCTTGTTTTCCATTTTGGCACAACATTCAGTGTACATCTGTGGAATGGTGGTGTTGGAAAAGTATTTGCGGCTGGGTAACTCATACCGTGGATCAACTACTTTGAGGAGTCTTTGAAACCCCTCGTTTTCCACTGTTTTGATAGGAACCAACCTTTGCCAGATAAAATGTTATTGCTTCTGTTTCCTCTTTCCATCCTTTTCCATACTTGTCTTGTCATATCGAGCGCCTCTCTCAAATGCTTGTGTTAGCGTTGTTTGTTTTGGTCTTGCTGTAACATTAGCGTTAGTCTCTGCTGGCTGCAGTGTAGCGGACCTTCTCAGTGCTTTACTTTCAGCGTACTGTTTGGGATGTTGTCGCTGTAAATGGCTGAAAAGGTTTGCCATGTTGCCGTCTGACGTGAAAACCTTCTCTGTGCAAACTTTGCAAATCACCATGGTTTGTGTCACATCAGTTCAGGCAAAGTTCAAACCAGTTCCATACTACAGATGTTGACTTTTTTTGGGGACTAACTCTTCTCCGGTGTTTTCATTCATGGCTTCCCGCTCGTGAAAAAGTGGAGCGAGGCATGATGGTACGCTAGGATTGGTTTATCTGCGTGTCTCTAGGGTGGGCATAAAAGGGACTAGCAAATAGTGCGCTTTGACCGAGGGAAAATAAAAACCCACATCGCTTGTATGTGCATAGAACTGCAGCGGATATAATGTGCATTGTAACACGATCCAACAATCTCCCTGTGATGGTGTATCGTGAAAACATTATAATCCTTCACGATCTGATGTCGTCATATCGCACACCCCTAATTTGAGGTTCTGTGGAATAGGACAGCTGGGAGGTTTCTAACAAACCTGGTTACCATGATGACCCCAGTTATATACAGTTATTTTCAGTTAATTTGATGTAAAGCCGTCAGTGTCGTTTGCTCAGTGAAAAATGTCCCTTATTGTTTTTTACTTTAAATAATTGCCCTTTGCTCTGAAAGTTGCTTAGTGTGAAAACCCTTCTGACCCTGAGTGTTGCATGCTGATTTAGAAACTCGTGACTAGCAACTCATGATTCCTTGTTCCAATAGATTTCAACAGTCCGTCTGTACTGAGACACGAGAGCAGTTTGTCATGCCAGCATGACATGGGGTCATTCAGAGTCTTTAATAAGCCTAGTGCTGAATAACATGAATACATTTTACTAGGTAGCTTTAGTTTACTACACCTACTACTTATAATAACAATAATAATAACAATAATAACAACAACAACAACAACAACAACAACAAGTTAAATTTATATAGCACATTTTTCTTAGTCACACTTTGCAAATGGTATCAATATAGAGAATTTTACAAACACTCAGGAAACCTAATGGATGAGGAAGGAGATGCTAGAAGAGGGAAGAAGCATGAAAGTATTGGGAAAAGAGGAGAGTTTTGAGCTGGACTTTGAAAGAAGAAAAGAACAAGAAGAATAGAAGAGATAGAGGAAGAGTGTTCTGTAACTGATGGACAGATCCGCCCCCAAACTTGGATAGTTTAAAAGGAGGAATTATTATTATTATTATTATTATGATGATGCATTGGTGTGGAATATGGGCAAAAACATGTGTTCAGTGGCTGCTAGCATACATGGTAATTAAAATTAAGAGAAAACAAGATTTCAAATCTACTCATAGCTTTAACAGTTTAATGGTGAAAATGTTTTATTGCTAATACAACCCCATCTCCAAAAAAGTTGGGACGCTGTGCAGAATGTAAATAAAAATACAATGCAATGATATGCAAACCATGTGAACCATATTTTTAAAGGGAAACACTACAAAGACAACATATCAAATGTTGAAACTGAGAAATGTTATTGTTTTTGGAAAAATATATGCCCATTTTGAATTTGATGCCAACACCCACATTCCAAAAAAGTTGGGACGGTGGCATGTTTACTACTGTGTAGTCAGTTTACACCTCTTCTTTTAACAACACTCTAAGCATTTGAGAAGTGAGGAGACCGACCGCTGTAGTTTTGAAAGTGAAATGTTTTCCCATTTTTGTTTGATATAGGATTTAAGCTGCTCAACAGTTTGGGGTCTCCTTTCTCAAAGTTTTTAATTTCATAATGCGCCAGATGGTTTCAGTGGTGACAGGTCTGGACTGCAGGCAGGCCAGTTTAGCACGTGGACTCTTTTACTACGGAGCCAGCAAGGCCTTCCCTGAAAAAGACGTCATCTGGATGGCAGCATATGTTGCCAAAATATGTATATATCGTTCAGCATTAATGGTGCTTTCACAGATGTGCACATCACCCATGCCATGTGCACTAATGCTCCCCTATACCATTATGAATACTGGCTTTTGAAATGAGCACTGATAACAAGCTGAGTGGTCTTTAGCCCAGAGGACACAGTGTCCACGATTTCCAAAAAGAATTTCAAATGTTGATTTGTTGGACCACAGGACACTTTTCCACTTCACCTCAATACGTTTTAAATGAGCTCGGGCCCAGAGAAGGTGGCAGCATTCCTGGATCCTGTGTATGTACAGTTTCTTCTTTGTGTTTGAGATTTAACTTGCATTTGTGGATGCAGTGACAAACTGTTTTCACAGACCATGTTTTTCAGAAGTTTCTGAGCCCATGCAGTGATTTCCACTACAGAATCATGTCTGTTTTTAATGCAGTGCTGACTGAGGGCCCAAAGATCACGGCTAGCAAATACTGTTTTTTGACCTTGTCCCTTGCATACAGAGATTTCTCCAGATTATCTGAATCTTTTAATGATATTATGTACCGCAGATGATGAAAATCATAAGTTCTTTGCTATTTTATGTTGAGAAACGTTATTCTTGAATTGTTGCACTATTTGCTTATGCAGCCTTTCACAGAGTGGTGAACCTCTCCCCATCTTTACTTCTGAAAGACCTTACTTCTGATGCTCTTTTTATACCCAATCATGTTTTTTAGCATTACCAACATTTCCACATTTGTCTGTGTACTATTTTCAATGAAACATATGGTTTAAATAATTTGCACATCATTGCATTTTGTTTTTATTTACATTTTGCACTTTTTTGGAAATGGGATTGTATTTTGGTTTGTAAGGAAAGGAACTTTTCCTGTAAATGGCAGCTAGAAAACAAAACCTCTAAACAAAAAGTCTAGTGCAAGTCACTTCCGCGCACTAATCAGACGTCTGGTCATTCCGCAACACAGATATGCTCTATCTGAATGACTCTAATCTCCATCTCAACAATAGCAATGGATAATCCAGATTGTTCGTAGCATTCAACAGTTAGTATAATGCAAAAAAAAAAACAACAAAAACAAAAAAAATTGTGCTTTTGCCTTTTTTAATTCCTGTAAAATATTGCTTTTGTTCATCTAATGTATTTGCTTGGTGCCATTTATTTAGTATTTATTTGAGTTTAATCAAACCAGTCACATTACTTACTAAATGAAGTTGTATAGGTTGAACAGATAAGTATTCTTTACAGTGTGGGTACAGCAGTAAACACAGTCTGTTATTACTTGGCTGATTATTACAGGGACCAGACATCAATCTCTTCTTCAGGCATAGATAAGTAAGTTGAAGCATTTTCTCTTTTAAAACGCTGGTACAGCTACCCAATGTACCGAAAATAGGTGACACTGTCGAAAGCTGACACAGGATTCTCTCAGGCCAATTTCTCACATGTAGAACTGTAACTGTTACAAGTTGTTACTCAAAAATGTTCACAATGTACAGCTACTGTTCCACACTTCAGTCACATCACTATGTTTAGCCTACCAGCCCGGTTAGCGTTTAGTAGGTGTACAAGATAAAATAGCCAATGAGAGGTACAAGAAGATAGGTTGGTGCTTCAGCCAACTACAGGTGAGGTTCAAGCAAAAGTCATAAAAGCTTGTCAAAAAAAAGATGCAACACTCACTCTATACACAGCCAAAAAATGACTATATTAAGGTAAAGCATGATTTTCCAGCACACATTCCGGACCTTCATCAGGTGAGAGTTACAAGACAGATGAACCCAATAAACAGGCAGTTCAGTGCTAGAAAGGATATTTCACTGTTCTCAATGTCCAAATCACTGGTTGAGGAGAAGTACTACAAAATGTGAGTGCCTTAATGTACAACAGACATGACTGAGTGTCTCAGAGGTACAGCCCTATGAGATAGATTACTGATAAAATAAAGTAGTCGCCATTCAGAATGTAAACAGTCCCATGTCTGTCTAAATTTTTCCATAGGATTAAATCTCACTTCCTTCGAGCCTAAGCATAGCATGATTAGTCGTATCACTACACAAACGAGTGTCAACATTTAAAGCATGTTTAGTCCTATGTACACTGCACAGACGCAAACTTCTACACGTTTATTTAGGCTGGGTGTGTTATGGGTGTGTTTGTGTTGTAGATGTGAGTGGAAACTCATGGAAATGTGAAAGCTTGTTTTTGAACACCTGCTGTTTCTTTTCATATAATTAAGCAAAAAAGACGTGTTAGTATTAATCCGACTGGTCGCTGTCCTCCTGAACCTTTATGGCTGGATTTTACTGAATGTGGATGTTCTGGATGTGAGCTGACATACGTCATTCACATTTCCTCCTTTTTGTTTAAAATTAATGTGACTGAGGCCCCTCCACACACCATTTCCTATTGGCCGACATAGAGTATATCAGAGTACGCACCATCAAAAGTAATTTTTTGGTAAATTCTGCCACGCATTGGTACCTGTACACATTGTGTATGTTTTTGCTGGACACCAAAGCACCCTTGTGAACACAGCCTTGTGTGTTTATAATGTGTCAGCTTTTGACAGCATATATTATATTAGATACATCGGTGATCATTTGGTAATTTTGACTCAGATTTATGACACAGAATTGAGTAGATTTAACACAACAGCATAGTAATGAACTCAGTCAGGTCCTCTCTGAGAGAAAAATCACCTGTAATGTTTAGGATCAAGTAAAGCCCCTTTAATGGTAACTGAACAGAAAGTGGTTTATTGTGAATAAGCCAGAGCCTGTTATATTGGAAAGGTAACCTACAGTCCCTGCGTGAGACCAGAACTATTTTCAAGGGTCTTGTGAAATTACCAGCCACTGCATTAGCAAGAAAGTTGAGTAATGAAGCCTTTTGTTTTTGTAACAGAACAGTGTCATAAGTACATGATTGAGAAATGAAGGAGTAGCTGGTTATTCAGGCTCAAAGCAAATGACATTACCTTTAAAGTGTGAAAACTTTATAAGTCAGAGACTGAAACTGTTGTCTGGAACATGTGTGCAGTTTTAAAATAATCTTACACTATTGTGTTCATTTTTACACTATTTTCTTTTTATTTTATTATTCTTAGTTTCTCTTATCATTTCTTATGTCGAGTACAGTTCAGTTGTTTGTCCTGGAGTGTTTTTCTCTGTGTGCCTTTTATGTTCTAAATGATATTGTTTTGTATTCTGTCACATAATGTTATGCTTGGGCTTGAACTCAGTTTGTCTTTTACCTACTGAGCGTTAACTTGCTAGCTGCTTAGCTTTCTGCTCATTTACTAAGCCTATTCTAGCCACCCGGAGCACAGGTGTGGCTGTACAACCCACGCTGCCCAAAGCTGCAGTAACCCTGGGAGGGCCCCTCTGTGGTAAAAGAACACCTGAGTGAGGTGGTGTACAGGGTCAGGGCAGCAGACTGTAATAGTTCATAGAGAAAGACTTGGGAGTTTTATCTTTCTCCTTCTGGTTCTTTGCCCTGGGTTAAATAAAGAGCAACTTTAAGCATAAATTATGGCCTCTCCTGACTCTTCTATCGAAGGCCACCATAATATCCAGTAGAACATAAAGTGTAAACCAGCTAAAAAGAGTCTGTTAGCAGCAACCAGGTCAAAGTGGTCTCTGCAGAATGGAATTAGGTGTTTTCAACTGTTTGGCC